GAGGAGGAACCGGACCCCGAGGCCCCGGAGAACGGCTCCCTGCCCCGCTTCGTGGAGCGCTTCAACTTCACCCTGAAGGACCTGACCCGCTTCGTGGATTTCAACATCAAGGGGCGCGACGTGATCGTGTTCCTGCACATCCAGAAGACCGGGGGCACCACCTTCGGCCGCCACCTGGTGAAGAACATCCGGCTGGAGCAGCCGTGCAGCTGCAAAGCCGGCCAGAAGAAGTGCACCTGCCACCGGCCCGGCAAGAAGGAGACGTGGCTCTTCTCCCGCTTCTCCACGGGCTGGAGCTGCGGGCTGCACGCCGACTGGACGGAGCTCACCAACTGCGTGCCGGCCATCATGGAGAAGAAGGACTGTCCCCCCAACCACAGCCACACCAGGTAGGGTTCTTGCCTCCTCTTGCTTCCTGTCACTCCCCATCCCCCTACCCCGAGTCTGGACCCTAGGGCGGCCCGTGCCCCCTGGGGCATCCCTATAATTCTCGGACTTTTCCCAATGGTTGATCTGGGCAGAAACTTTGGAGAGGGCTGAGATAGAGCTGTGGTCTTGAACTTGCTCCTCCTCCAGCCCCCATTGTTTTCTCCCACGCTCTTATACCTGCAGAGGTGCCCACAGCCATTGCCTGCGTTTCTTTCCTGGTGCCCAGCACAGTGTTGCATCCCTCCAAACTGACCACCCCCAAGCCCCATGGGAGGCCCCACTGGGGTCGCTAGGTGGGGGCCACTCACTGTTGTGTGTAACTCAACGTGTTCCTTCGGGCCTCCGTGGATCTCCTCCCGAGCCGGTCCATACAGAATCCTTAGAAATGTTTATTATTATAAATTTTAATCACAGCATGATATGTGATATGATTGTAAATTGATCAAAGTAATGTAAATCAGATATATGACTTAACAAAAACTTAAAAAAATTTTTTTCTTCATAGAATTACATTATTAATTATAACCTTATTAGTAACTGAGCAAAGCCTTTTAAAAGCTGTGTTGTTGCTTGCAGTTATTGATATAAGTTCACAAATACTTATCACAATATATTGGAGCTAAAAGATCAGAAAATTTAACAAATCAGTGAATGTAAAAACACACACCAGCAACAAAAGCAACAATGAGTGCTTACAACGTGGCAGATGACTCCACGTGACTCGAAGCGTTGTTATAATTGAGTAATGATGACAAATCTGACCAGGGTGCATTAGAAGATTCAGAAAGTAAATTAGCATACACTTTAGCTTCGTAAGTTAAGTGATACACATAAACTGGGCTCATGGAAAGTTTTTGCTATAACTACCCACAAGGATGCTTTTATTAAAAATTAATAAATGTCTGATGAAACTACACAAAAATCTTATACAAAGCCATTTACTGTAAACCACCTCCATCCCCAGTGGCACCTGGTGCAGTATCACTGGCATGCCCTTGGGCCTGGGCCTGGGCCTGGAGAGAGGAACTCAATTAGGCCAGTAAGTTGCAGCTTGAACAGCACTTGGGGTTTGGCTGATAGCAGGCAAGTGGAACTGGGAACGGAGAGTTAAGGCAGGAGTTTTCCAGCACAGTGAAGTCAGAGAAAAGTCTCATCCCTTGACAGGTGGCTCATGGATGGGTGCTTGCTAACTCAAGAAACCATCCTCTGGTTGCTGCTTTGAAGATCCATGTGTACATTTCTGCTCTACCTAGATTCTGGAGATGCTCTTTGTTGTTGGGCAGTGCTAGGATTTGGACTCTTGCTTCTCTCAGCAAGATGTCCATTCTTCCCCTAGGTCATTCCATCAGCTCATTCTGGAAGTGTCTTTTAAAGACTTACCATGTGCCTGGTAGTGTGCTGAATTCGAAATGGATGTAAAGATAGAATAAGTATCTTTTCTTTTTAGCGTGATAAATAGGTCCCCCCCCCCCTGTTTTAAAGTAGTAATACTGCGGAGAATTAGACTTACCGCTAAGAATTAGGGAAATGTGAAATCTTAATAGCCAAGGAAACTGCTTACATTATTAACATCCTTTGAGAGAGACATGGGCATAAGACTTAGGTTGAATGTTCTTTCTGCCCGTTACAATTTGAAAATTAATCTGACATACTTCCTCCAGGGACTAAAACATTAAAAGCTTGGAATGCTAGTTTATTGAAGTTTTTATCTCAAAGGTTTCCAACAATTTGGAGTAAGGTAATAGGAATTTGAAAACTCAGGCTCAATATGTTGATATCACCGTTTTTGCATCTGACATTATAGGAAAGTTTCATTTACTGGAAGCCACCCAGATTCTAGAATTCACTGCCACGGAAGCATCTAATTCTACTTCATTTCTCCAAGAATGAGCAAGATTTCATTATGTGATTTCTAACTGGTCGTTTTTCAAATACTTTATTCCCTCTCTGCTCCTTTTCCTGTTTAATAGAAAGTGGTAAGATTAGGAAACTAGTTGGAGTTGGAATGCAAACCTTAGGCAACTTCTTTAGTCTATATTAAAGGTGATTTATTGATTTTTTGTTGTTGTTGCTTTGAAGGAGCTCTGGTGGTGCAGTGGTTAAAGCTCTTTGCTGCTAGCCCAGAAGGTCAGCACCTTGAACCCAGCCCTCTGCTCCACAGGAGAAAGCTGTGGCAGCCTGCTTCTGTAAAGATGTATGCCTTGCGCCCCCTATGGAGGGCAGTTCTACTCTGTCCTGTGGGGCCACTATGATTCAAAATTGATTCGAATGCAGTGGGTTTGATTTTATTTTGAAGATTTTTTTGCTCTGTATTATTTTAGACTCTACCAGTCTTACTTTAGCTTTAAATGTAGTCTTTTGATCAAGTATAACTTCCTAAGAAATAAAAGACGATCTCCTATATTTCATCCAACAGTATACTCTTGGTAGTTAACCTTTTGTATCTTAATTGCTGAATGATCACCCCCCCCAAATTTATAAGTAGCTTCACACCTATGAAAGACTAGATCTATCAATTGATTATTTTTTTTAACTTCTAAAGATGCTTCATTGTGGAGGGGGAACAGTCAGCATTGTTTTCTACTAATGTGCATGTGAAATTTAGTGACTAGATGATGATTTGGGGGGAATTAGAGTAGGACATGGATTCGAAAAATAATTCTGTTTTTCTTAGTGATGAAATTAGCTACTACTGCTACAGGCCTTGCGGAAGGTACTAGCCGCAAGGCTTCACTTCCACGGGAAATATCCAATATTTTGCTACTTTGTGTCACAGAACATTCCAATATTGGCCACTTAAACATATGGTTTCTATTGCACAAACGGTTTTCTTTGTTTAGTTATAGACTACGAGCATTTTTCTACTTGAATTACAAATTGTCTTGAAACTTTTCTTTGTGGCATGCTTTATAATCCCCTCTTCTTTTCCTTCTTACCTTCCTTCCGGTTCCCAACAAGTCCCACTTCTTTTCCTTTTTTAGCTATGGTAGGAAGGAAGAGTTCTGGCCAATGTAAGATGTTCTGTATCAAAAGCTATATGAAAAACGCTGAAGAGAGGTTAACAGTAGCATCTTCCTAGCTGAGAAGATTGAACTCATTGTCTGTCATTGTACTGTGTATAGCATTCCACAGCCAACTAGATTAGCCTGGATGATGGCGGGTACATTTTCACAATGCAAAATGGCAGATAATCTATTGCTACATAATGGGAGCAAGGGTCTTCTTCAAATAGGGCTGATTCTCAGAAAACGATGATGGGCAGGCAGTCCTCATGTTACTAAAGCCCATCTGTAGTACAACCTTTAGTTAGGAACCAACCCTATAAGGTCTTTTATATTGGAATTTTGAGGTACATATAATGGTTTCTATAACCATGGAGGGATACTCTTTGAGGCCTCTCAGACTAGTATTATTACTGGATTATTATGTTACAGGTGTTTTAATGTACCTGTAAGCACTTTTTAATGTCTTTAATGCATACAATGATTTGCCATATACTATGGAAAACATTTGACTAACTGATGTTCGCTACAAACCATGCATACCTGGTTCGATTTATGCACAAATCTGACTGAAAGACAAATTGAAGAATGGAATTTGTTCATAATCTGGGCATTGCCTGCAGATCACATTATTTTCATTAGCTCTCATGCTGTTCCGCCCTCCCAGTTTATCTTAGGGCTCAATACTCACATGCATCACTTACTGGATTCAGGTGTCACACAGACATAGGTTGTGTACTCACTCTGTGTGTAACCAGGAGTCAGTTACTTTTTTTGGGCCTCAGCTTTTTCATATTTTAAGGGTACCTAAGTAGCACTACCCTCACATAAGTATTGTGAGAATTAAATGAACTAGTGCATTTAAAATGCTTAGCAGGATATGTCGACTGATAGATAGTACTACTTAATATGCTAATATATATCGGTGTTAAGTGCCATCAAGTTGGCGTGGATTCATACTTAGAGCAATAACAGAATTGAAAACGTCCTAGTCCCTCACCATACTCACAATGTTGGTATGATGGAGCCCTTTGTTGTAGCCACTGATGTATGCTGGTATGTAGTAATACTTAAAAATCCACACCATGCTATCAACTGTAGTAGTACTCTTTTCTCTAACCACGGCTGACAGTCACAACAGGATCTGGTGTTTTATGTTTATGTGTTGTTAGTTGCTAGGCTTTGGCAAGTCAGTTTAAACTTATAACTACCCTATGCAACACTGCGGGATCCTGCACTGAATTTAGTGAAAACGAGCCCCTTTCACGCATGGGAATGTCATTTTATGGCTATTTGTGCTCACACAGAATCCTAAGTTCCAAACAGAAGCCGGGATTGAAAACTGTGGGCCTTTGGGACTATAAGTGGGAATATAATTGTTTCTGCATTTTACTGGTGATAAGAAAAGTTGCTAGAATAGTAGGAGAGGAGATGGCAACATGTAAGAGCCAAGGCAGAAAGTTGGAAGCGAATTCTGAAACCAGAATCTAGGGAGAGTTGAAGGAACCCCTGTATGGGTATTTAGATCCCAAGAGGATGCACGGTCCCCAGACTGGGGGTTGAATACAGCCCAGATGGCATTTTGCACGCAGGAGGCCCTGGTCAGCTAACAGGAAGATTGTAAACGTGCGGACCTGTTTTATCACATTACTGATGACATCTTTCCATTGTTTGTAATTTGCTTTTTTCCCCAATTATTTCTTTGAGTACCCTTTTCCACTCTCTTTATGCTTTTTTCTTTATTACCGTTATGGTTTCCCCCTTTGTCTGCATGTCCAGATCGGTAGAAGGCTTCCTTTTACAAATTCTAAAATATGAATAAAATCAAACAGCATTTTTTGACACCCCCTCCAAAAAAAAGACCAAAAAATAAAACAAAACAAACAAAAATAAAGCCCTCAAGCCTCCACCAGAACTCAGCTCATCATTTTACATGGCAATGGGAGATAACTGAACCC